TTCATGGGAATGATCCTAATAGAGTTGGGGCCAAGTGAAAACAGTTTGATAAAGGTTGTGAATGAAAAATCTGGGCTTCATGGGAAAAAAATAAGAGAAATTTCATGGTCAAAACTAACATTGGGGAGCAAACCTGTGGAAGGGCACCTAGAATTAGGAACATGACTTCCACTTGGATTGCAAGAAACTTTGCAAACAAATTTAAGGTCAACCCTTGCATGAGAGTGCATGACATTATTGAAATTATTTGGTGGGAAAAGGGGATTAAGGTGAGCAGATTCATGGCATACAGAGCAAGAAAGAGAGGGCAAACCCTTATTATAGGTGAGTATAAGGAACAATATGCATTACTCCTTAGGTATGCTGCTGAGATTCTGAAAAGAAGTAATAGAGCCAACATTGTTTAAATTGCATATGAATGCAAATGTATTTCAAAGGTTGTACATAAGGTTTGAAGCTTCGAGGAAGGGATTTTTGGCTGGTTGTAGGCCCTTCATTTCACTCGATGGTTGCTTTATAAAAGGACCATTTGGGGGATAACTTCTGGTGGCAGTTGGGAGGGATGGGAAAAACCAGATGTTCCCCATTGCTTGGGTTATGGTTGAAATAGAGAGCACAAACAGTTGGACATGGTTTTTGTCTTTATTAGCTTCAAATTTGAGGATAGTTGAGGGTGCTCGGTACATATTTATCTTTGACCCGCAGAAGGTAATACTTGCAGCAGTAGCAGTTGTTTTCCCGGAGGCAGAGGTCAAAGTTTGTGCTAGACATGTGTACACAAATTTCAAGGGTGTATTTGGTGGGGGTTTGGAGTATAGGAAGCAATTTTGGATAATTGCTAAGAGTTGTACTAAAAATGAGGTCATGGAAAACATGGTTGTAATGAGGGTCATCTGTTGATGCTGCTGATGATTTGATGAATAGAAATTACGAGAAATGGTGAGGGCATTTTACACTTCCATGTCATGTTGTGACAGTGTTGACAATAACATGAGTGAGGTGTTTAATGCCTACATTCTAGGCTCAAGGCACAAGCCAATCATCACTATTTTAGAAGACATAAGGAAGGGCTTAATGGAGAGGTTACACAAAAATAGATGAAATATCAAAGAAAGAAATGGTACGGTGTTATGCCCTAGAATTCAGCAAATACTATAAAGGAATAAGATATGGGCTAGGAGTTGGAATGCATTTTGGGATGGAGGGTTCTGCTATGGGGTTAGGCAAGGGGCAACACAGGATAAATTTGTTGTGAACTTAAAGAACGTGTAGTTGTAATGCGTGGCAAGTTAGTGGCATTCATTGCAAACATTTAGTGGTGGCAATTTGGAACAAGGTTGATTAGCTAGAGCATTATGTGAATGAATACTTCACCAAGGAAACCTATTGAAGGCATGTGACTTCCTACTTAAGCCTTTAAATGGACCCCAAGAGTGGCCCCAGTCATATTCTGTTGTGATACCACCACATTTGAAAAAATTGCAGGGCACACTTAAGACAAAAAGAAGATATCTACAGGGGGAGGTCACAGCTGCAGGGAAGCTAAAGAAAACAATAATTTCTCAATCATGCAGCCTATGTGGTTTAAAAGAGCATAACAAGAGGAGCTGCAAGAATGGGGGGCAAGAGAGGCAACATAAATGAACTACCCCACCTAATCAGACAGAGGTAGAGGTAGGGATTAACTCAATTCCAATGCACAACAGGGAAGTAGGGATATATATTAACCCTAATGGATTTCAAGGGGTTGCTACTGTTAGTTTCTTGACATATTATAAAGTAATTATGTACTCATTATTTTTGTATTTTTATTAACACATTTTTCATTTTTTACACAGGGTGCTCAACCTCAAACAAGCCCTCCTTTACCAACTGTAAATAAAGCCCCTTAACCACCTCATAGAGCCTTTTATACTAACACTGATGGGGAGCAATCTGTTTACTCTTGATATCAACTCAGGCACTGCAGGTATAGGTTTTTTTTATTTATTTATACGGTAAGATACGGGGGTGCCTCTCCTATCACAGGAGGGGTGGGGGTGAAGATCGAACCCTGGTCATACCAGGGGGAGATGGACGGATAAACCATCTCTCTACTCCTTGATCCTTATGTATATAAACACATGTATTTGAATCAAATTTTTATTTATTATTATTGTCATATAGGCTAACAATACACCAATAACACTACAGGATCTAGCTAGAGCTAAGAGAATTGGGAAGCATTAACTAAGGTAAACTACCTTTACTTTATTTAACTACTACTACTGATGACTACAATTAATTCTTCAAAGCAAACCAAATAATTGCTACACACACAATCAGAATTACTTTCCACAGATCACAATTGAACCCCACTTTAATCCTAGCAGCCCTTTTCATCCTCAACATTATATAATCACTCTCCACCTTCCTTGCATAATGGTTTGATTGCTTCAATTTTGTCCTCAAGTTCATAACTTCTTGTTTTAATTCCTGCTTCTCCTGCATTAGTCCTAAAATGACTTCAGTCTGCCAATCAGTAGGGTCTACCGTGTTCACCCATTTGAAAAACTTGCAGCCTCTCCTTTCTGTTTCAGTATCATAATCAGGGCATGCAAGAAACCTTCTCCCAGGATTATCCTTAGTCCATGCCCTGCTCTTAGAATACTAGAAGGCCACAATGACATCTGTTACCTGTTGCATTCATTCTGAACATGCTGCTATTTTTTTTTCTTTGCAAAAAAATCGAAGTAAATTTGCAATTTTAACTTTTGATTTTTAACAGGAATGATGCAGAAGCTGTTGAAGTGTCATGAAGCATTACTAATTTATAGATGCAATTTTGCTGTTATTTTGAGCTGTTATTTTGAACTTTCAATGGCTACTTTATTTTAGTAACAACTATTTAATGGGAAAAATCAAAACATTAGTACCTTGCCTTATTAATGTCAGAATATATAATTTCCCTATTTTTTTTTTTTTCACTTGGTAACCGATTATAGTAGGTTACTTGGCCTGGAAATCGATTTGAGTACCTTCCCTGAAACAAACCAAACTTGAATACCTTCCCTGCAACTTTTTCCAAACATTAGTACCCAATATTACTATCAACTCTTCAAAATTATAATGTGTTTGATAAGACAACACATAAGTTTCATGAATTTTAAGTATGTGGAGGCGTGGAGCCTTGTTACTATTAATTGGCAAATTAAACATCATTTATTATACACCCTTTGTCCTTTTAATATAAGTATTTATTTTTGAGTTGAGTTTATATACATTTTGAGCTGGCAATATGTTATTGGTCAAGCAATAAAAATCTTAATTTTTACTTACTTTGAAATTTCAAATGAAAATTTGAACCAGTTTTAAATTAGACAGGTAAATATTATCTATCTTCTCTCTCTCCATTATTCTTTCTCCTACTAAACTTTGTGTCTCTATCTCTCTTTGACTCATTGCTGCCACTACCACCTCCATGTAGACATCGGCTCATCACCCTCCCTAGTGGTTGTGATTGTATGTTGATTTTGCCATGCCTTTCTCTCTCCTCAATTCATGACCCTAGTTGCTACTAGTGCCGCATGTCACGTGCTGACTACTTTGCCCTAGTCAGGCACCGTGCGCCACTTGCTTACAGTCCGTCGTAAGACAATTCAGGCTTTCTCCCTTGGCACTATTCTTTGTGCCCACGTAGCACAACCCTTTGTGCTGCTAGAATATATTTGCTAGCATGTCCCCTTAGTGCTAACAAGATCCCTTGGTTGAACTAAGCACTCACCCCTAGTGCCTTAGTCCGAATTTATGACTAAGTGTCGTAGATAATTGAGCACACAAGCTAACACCCTTGCTAGTATGCCCGATAACTCACTTGGCACCCTCGTGCCTTAGTTTTCCTCACACTCTATAAGTGTCTGAAGGAAAGAGATTGAGTTGCAAGAGAACACAAATGCTTTTGGAATACTTTTTGTATTACTCTCAACTTGAATGTACAAATGAGCCTTGGAGCCTATTTATAGTGCTCCACCTACTTACAAGCTTCTCTAGAAAATTCCTAACATTCTCAAATGGAGGGTTCTAGACTACACTAATCTAGAGAGTTCCCACCTCCAAAGGAACATACATACAAGGAGGTTTCTACACACACTTAAGCTTAGAATGCTAAAGACTAGCGTAGAACATTCTAGAACTTTACAAAAGTTATGTACATATGTTGAGAGACCTAGAAGACTCCTAATATATACCAGACCTTCCTTGGTTATTCTAGAGTCATCCATTCTAGAATAGTCTTCCAAAGAACCTCGTAGATAGCTCCAGAACCTTCTAGAAGCATCCCACGTTTTTCGGGCTACCTGCTGCCAAAACTTGTACTTCGGGATCTCATCTCGGAAAACCGACACCACCATGGTCTTCCTTGGCCCACAATACAGTGGACCCCCAAATTTGGGCCCATTTGAACTTCGTTTGGGCTTCCAAATGACCCATTATTGTGTTACTGTCATTTGGGTGTTCATTAGGATTACACCACCTGGGCTAAATAAAGCTCTATAGGGGGAAGTGCTCAGCTGGGCACCAAGGGCAAGCCCCCTAGCAATGATTATGCCCTGTTGCCTAGTGATCCAAATGACGCTCATGGCTATCAAGGGGGATGATCCGTGACACGCAGCTACCATGTCCTCTTGCTGATAAACCATACCCTAATAGTTGTTGCGCCGTGAATGCTTTTGTATGATCCTAAATAATTGGACATGAGTATGACACTTTGACCCTTGAATTTTGGCCAAAATCATATCAACTTTTCTCAAAATAGCTGAGGGACCTTTTTTTTTTTTTTTTTTTTTTACCAAAAATGACTTTAAGTATTATGCCTTTCAAAAATTGATTTAGGTGCCATATGTATCGTACATAAAAGCATTATGCTGAAGAAAATCTCCTTGAAAGATTAAGAATACATAGCTAGATAATTAGACGAATTATGTAGTTAATTGTTTGGCTTGAGGAATTTCCAGATTTTACTCTTTTTTTTTTGGTAAATAAATTTTGCATTACCAAAAGAAGCTGTAGCAGCAAAGAATACAGCATGAAGCCTAAAAGGCCTAAATAACCCAAACACCAACGCCCAACAGGCAACCAACCACCAGCCAAAGAAACAAAAATCAAAGACCTTCTTCTAGGAAGGGTTCCTAAGATTTTTGTTTCAAAACAAAGGCTCTTCTGAACTTAGAGGAGAGGAACTACCAAAGGAACAGGACAAAACAACTAAAAATAGGCTACAAGGAAAGGAGCAAGTTCAGGAATAGCCTAAACAATAACAACAAACAACCCAAAGAAACACCCATCAAGAAAACCAAACAAACATAAACTAGCTCAACAAGGGGCCCACAAGCAACCACCAGCAAGGAAGATGGCATCTGGCAGCAAGACCAACAAGACCGAGGCCAGCAACTACCCACCAGAAACGACAGGCAAGCAACCAGCAACTAGGGAGCAGCCTTAAGAACAAGAGGCAGCCAGCACACAGACCCCATCAGCAGCAGGAGCTAGCCAGAAGGCAGCAAGCAAAACAGAACTTGCAACACTAATCAAGCAGCAGTAGCACAATAATCCAGCAGCAGCAAAAGAGAAGTAAGCAACAGCATAAAACACAAAGCAGCAGGCAGAGATTACAAAAGAAGCAGCAGCCGCCCCAACAACTAAACAGGCCATCAACCAAGCTTCATCACATAACAAGATGATGTCTCTCAGCCTCAGCACACCTACAAGCCACTTTAAACACAATCTCACGAAAGACAACATCAACATCATCACATCTACCTTGAAAGACGGTGTTATTCCTCTGAATCCAAACACAATAAACAGCTTCAGCAAGGAACATTAAGTGCAGCCTACTACTAGGCTTAGCTTTCCTACAATTCTTGGTCGCCCATTCAACTTCTTGTAGAAAGCCCTGGAGTGGCTTCTAGCAATGAAGCAAGTCCAAAATTTACTCTTAATTTAGCAAGTCAGGATATGTTCACTTATCTACAAAGCTTCGCTATTGGCCATCAAAAAACAGAACATAAAAAAAAATTAAAAAAAAAAAAAAAAAAAAAAAAAAAAAGAGGCTTGAATGCAAATTACGCAACTGCAAAATAAAAGGCACCAGAAGCGCCAAATTTCTCAATCGAAAGCCTGTGGATTCCTAGCACACTGTAAAAAATGGGCTTTCAAACAGCATAAAACTCCATATATAATAGCTTCACCCACAAGAGATAACCTAAAGCCCTTGGTTTATGCAACCAAGTTTCGCCGCATAATTTTACAGTACTGGGTACAAAGCTATAAGGAAAACTATAGAGCCTGCATCTCTATTTTAACACCGTCTTTATCGCCATTCTTTTCAGAAGTAGAATTGGCTGAGGTTTCCCTGTCAGAGCTCATCTCTTGAACAGGCGGTGGGTTGACAATGGTCATGGGCATGGCGACATCATCTGTGAGGCGAGATTTCATCTCCCGATGCTCCTGGCACAACGCACACCAGTGCATGCAGCAATGCACAAGGCATGGGTCACATGGGGAGTTCTGCATTTCATGACAGTAACAAATGAGGATATCACACACCAATGACCTTTTCCATCCCAAAAATAAAAGAAATAATGAAATAAAACACGAATGAAGACCTACATTGAAGTGAGCACTTCAGTATCACAGAATAGATTATGTCAGATAACAAGAAATTATTCACAAGATCTAGTGTGATCATAGAAGTGATCAACAAGAAGCTGAGCCTCAGATCCCAATTCTTCACTTGAATAATATGGAGTATTATCTAATCATTTCTGAAATTTCCTGAATCTTACTAAACCTTGATTTTTTTTTTTAAGTTTTCTAAAATAAGTTATAGCGCAGGATTTGATCTGCCTAAACCCATAATTTAAAGATTTGTGGGCAGGATTAGTTGCAGATCCTAAAACTGAACAGTGTAATACAAAATAAATTTATTGATAATGATGGAAAAAAAAAAGCCCTTCTCAGTAACAACCCCACCAATGATTTGAAAGAAAAGCACAAACAGAAGAGCCTATGAAGTAAATTAATAACAAATTTGTTGGTCCAAGTTACAGGACACGTCAAAAGAATGTACTAATTAAAGTGGAATGTGATATAGGGATAAATAACCGATAATCCATATCGTGTCAAATTGAATGAAATTAGGCATAGGAAATCACCTTGAGATGATATTGTCTCTGCAAGGATTGTCTAGCAAGACCAGTGTATATGCCACACATCCACCAAGTGAAAAATAATCCCTCCCAAATGAGACAAGTTGTTCTTGGGTCGATACCATAAGTCCAAGCAGTGGCAGCAGCCAGTGCCATACCACCTTCTACAAAAACAGCATGACAAACACATGGTGTAGTCCATGGGGTATCATCTCTCAATCTTTCCACATTACGCCCAAATAAGACACATGGGCAGAAAAGCCCAGTCCAACCTAATTGACAGAAAAGAAAAATTCAAATACGTAAATAGGGGTTGCAAAAGAATATAAAGTACACTGAGAACAACTGTGTGCACATTTAAACCAGATAGTAAATAGTATGCTACAGCATAGATAACGTAACAGACTAACAGCACAAGCATTGCTGGAGACATATAGTTCAGGCATGTAGGACACTCAGCCAGTACAATATTAATGAAATCAAACGTAGCCATTTGGTGCAGGAGAGATTTTCGTTACACTGATCTCCATTACAGCTTCTCATTTTAAACTTACAAAATCCATAACATTCAAATGACAGCTTCATAAATTCCGTGCAATTATGCCATCATTAACATACTATTAGAAGTTCGATATATGAGTATATGACAACATTATTAGGCCGGGGCTACAAAAAAGTCCACCTCATACTGCATGTCTCTCCTCCCTAAAGTCTAAAAATAAACTATACTGACAATTTTTGGATCCACAATTTCCATTACTGCCCGCGCACTGGTTATGACAGATGATGAGGATGGACCGAGATCATGTTGCCTAAAGGACACCGCTTACATCATATCTCCATTATCTCTACAGAAGTTCTAACCTCCTATTATTCTTCAGCTTTGAGAATGAAAATTGATAGGCTCATTATTCTCACTCACATGCATTGACCATTACTAATTTACTAGCATCACAGTAAATTTGGGATGCCAAATATTTACATATGCATACAATAACTTCAAAACAAGAAGCAGAAGCATATTTGAGAACTTACAACTCTCAGTATCTTGTGTACACCCAAAGATCCCACTTGACCAAGGTTCATCACCAGGAGGCTCATAGCTTTCAGGTAAAGGCTGCCCACATTCGCTACACTTGTGAACATGCAACTGGAAAATCAACCAAAAGCAGAAGAGTTAAAGAAAAAGTGGAGTGCAGCTCTACATATCCAAGAACTGACTGCCTGTAGAGTCAAGAAGCATCAACAGGATCTTGTAAAATTGGAATACATTATCACAGGAAATTGATTAACCGATGCCTCATAAATTAAAAATAACTTCATAGCTTCTATAACAAGTTTCTTTTTGTTCTTTAATGCATCATTAAAAGCAAAAGGCATTTTGAGAACTTTTCACGCAGTAGCAAAATAACAAAAACTTTGCGTTTTTATTACTAGCAACATTTGGACTTTAACATTATCTACATACTCTATTTTGACTATCTTTGGTGATTTATTCTTAAAGGAAAAGTTGTCATAATGATCCTTAATATATAATGAAAAGAAAGCTGGTCAATATTTCAGCCTTATTTTGACTACATCATAAGTCTCGGCGTTGCAAAGTTATGTAAGCTAGAAGGCAGGCAATTTAAAAAGAAGCAAAAGTTACAAAGGCAGGTCTGAAAAGCTTTTCTTAAGCCTGAGATATACTGTGGACCTAATACCACAATGAGGCATGGATCTCATATCAGCATAGTACAATCAAAGTTTGTGCATCATCAACTCAGTGAGTAGATTTTAAACAAGAAACGAAATTTGATAGTAGAAACTAATCCCGTTGAAATTTCCAGCATCTTATATCCAAATACCTGCTAAGGACTGAAGAGTGAAGACCAGGTACAAAACGTAGGAAACCTAGGGGAAAAAGTGGCTAGCTAATATTACAAGTGGAAATTCCTCAAACAAAGTGAAGAACTGCTTAAGCAACTTCAATTCAATTCAATTCCAATTTTCAAGCCCAACAACAGCATATCCCCATGAGAAGTAACTATGAAGCTTAAACTCACAATATTGAATAACTGTGCCTGTATATGGCAGACGGACCAGCCTCCCCTATAATATTGGCTTTGCCCAATCGTTTAATACCATAAAATAAACTCGAAAAACTAGACAAGAACAATCAACTTTAAACCCTAGAACAACAAATAAGTCAGATGAAAAACTTCTCCAAAATCCACCAAAATCCAATATACCAATGTACTGCTAGATATCTAGCAAACCAAACCTCGTTCGACATAAAGATCTTCTAGTTCTCATTGTAAAAACTATAACTTCATAACTATTACATATTCACATACATTACTTCCAAAAGATCAGAATTCAGTCAAATCCCACATCTACACATAATGCAGAACATGCAAAATTACACTCACAAAACAAATATCATCAAATCATACAATCAGTTACGATCAAACTGAAAGAAGAGCAGAAATCAGGGCAATCAACTAATCAAAATTCAAGACATGGGTTTCGCAGATCAAGTGGTAATTCCAAAAGGGTTGCTTCTAAATTCCAATAAAATTGATTAAATCCAAGATAAAAGTGATTTTAAAACGAAATTCAATACCTGTGAATTGGGTATTGCTTGATTGAGTTCACCAGGGGTGATATCTTCGTCGGCAGAGACTTGAGCTTTGGTCAACTTCACATATTTCGATGCGTTTGACGACTCTTCAGCCATCTTTACAACAAAAAAATCAACAATGTCAACTCAATTAACAAAACCCAGAAATCTCCAGAATTTTTTAGGAAGAAGAGAGAGAAAATTACCGTCTTTTTCTGTGTTGCTAGATTCAGGGGCAGATTTTGATTTTGCTAGAAATTGGGTTTCAGGCAGTCTTTGTACTCGAATAAAAGAGGGTCGGGGTTTCTTCAATGTTGAGTTAAGTAATTGTAGTTGTACTTGACTCTTGATTAAAATAAAAATCAACTGAGGAAGTTCGGTGATAGCACGTTAAAGTCGTGATTTGTGAAGACGTCAATGTAGGATGTAACTTGATTAAGATTTGGTCTATTAATCTATACGGTGAATAACTTCTACAGATAATGCACAAGGATATATAATTTAAAATAAAATAAAATTGATCTAAGGTAAAATTAATATTCCGGATCATAATTAGTAGTTTTGTCTAAAGTATAAGTTTTCATTCAATTAATGGTTTTATTGAAGTGAAAAACCGATATTTGCAACTGCAAACGTGAACGGTATTGGAAATAACTCATATATTAATTAGAATAAGTTCATATCTTCTAGGATAAATCTTGATATTTTCTAGGATCATCTATGTAAATCTTGATATAGGATCATTTATGTAAATCATTCAGATTTGATATGACATACATACTTAAGAGGTGTGACAAACCATATAAAAAGAATGTGTTAGTGATTTTTATTATTATTTTATTTTTCTAGGCGATACGTATTATCATGTGTTGACAATTTCCTCCATGCTCCTACACAACATGTCTCGTATGAAACAACTTCTTGTGCTTTTGTGCATAGATTGATGCATGTGTGTTTGATCCTAAATCCTGTTTAGGTGTCATAGTGCTTTTTTTCCTCGCTAATAAATATTTGTAATGCTTGCTGCACGTATGGGGAAGGTTGCTAGGGATTCAAGCACGGACGAGCGATCTACACAATTCACGTTACCATGTGCTTAAAATAAAAACAATTTCAAGTTACCGTGACTTTGATAGAGTTAGGCCCCGTTCATTTCACCTTATTTTTGCTAAACTGAAATTATTTTTACTGGTTTTCTATTATATTTCTTCTTTAAAGATACTGAAATTATTTTCACTGAACTGAAATTATTTTTACTTAATATTATTTTTTTTAAGGTGAAGTGAACAGGGCCTTAATAGGTAGAAATATAAATTTGAAGAAGCCTTTGTCGTGCAGCACGCATACGATTAACATATAAAACCATGAATAAAATGTGTTATTGAATTCTTTTCTTATGGAAAAAAAAAAAACCGTTTAACAGTGAGATGAAGGGGGAAACATTGAATTCAATTGTAATGATATCAAGGTAAAAAGAAATATCAAAAGGAAATGAGATTTGCCAAGCAAAGCTCCGGTGAAGTTGGTGGGGCACCTTGTGACTTAGAGGTCACAAGTTCGAACCCCACCAACTACAAAATGCTTGAGAGTAGGGTCTTTTTTCTTACGTTAAAAAAAATATTAAAAAAAAAAAAAAAAAAATGAGATTTGTGATGCTAGGGGTTTGTAACTTTGTATAGGTTTAGACTAGACTAGATATAGATATTCACATTCTCACCCCACTACACAGTAAACTCCTGGCCCTTACCAACCTCACTTGAGGCAAAATCCACCTATGACCTACCAGCCCATCCTTTGAAGTTTTTTTTTTAGGTTTTGACCATCACAGTATAATTTGGTGTGTTAACGTAAAATTCTTGCAGCAAAGTCATCATAACTGACAATGAATTCAAATACATAACAGAAGGTGCAGGCACAAATGCACATGTCTTGTTGTAGAAAACTTCGAAACGTCTTGAAACTCCTTAAACCTATCAATGCTTTGAAAGTTGAAACATAAATATATTGAATAGAGACATCAAAGGTTCAATACATTCTACAGTACATAGATCAGCATGAGAAGTTTGAGAACGGTGCCAGTACAACCATACCTGACTTCAGCTACACGCTCATGTAACAGCTGATATTAAGGCATGACTCATGATCGCCTGTTCAGAAACAGCAGAAACAATGTCATATGATAAATAAGTCTCATCACCTAGACTTCAGTAGAGTAGCAGCTGCATCAGAAAGCACATTTTACCTTCAAAATAATCATCCAAGAAGAATTGTACACAAGCCTCAAATTAAACATCTTCAATACCAGAAGTTACAAACACCAAGCCAAAATCAGCAAGCATCTGATATTGGATTATTTACAGAGACTGAAAGATTCAGAAACTATAGTTTCAGAAGTATCACTCAATCGATTACAGCAGAACTCTAAATTTCGACGTGGTATATACACTGCATCAGAAAAACCCCTGCATACTGCAGAATGCTTATGCACTTAAGAGACTACCATGCAGCCAAACGCCTCTCACATATCACAAGATTCACATCCATCAGCAACAGCAGCAAGGGACCATAGGCATACCTATACATACCAACATCAAAGCCACAGTAAAGTGTCAACCGTCTACCAAAGGCAACCTGCATCTGTTTTGCTCTCAAATTTGATAACTCCTGCTTACAGAATATTAAAAAACAACGCAGAAAATAATCAAACCAACAAGTCCCATGTGAGACAACTCCCTATGCATGTGTGCCTATATTGATGCTTGTGTAGCTGTATATAACTTTTACGCGCATATAGGGAAAGCTGTTAGGGATTCAAGCCCTGCACGGGCAATACATAACACATGCTAAAATAAAATAAAAGAAAATTTAAGTTGTCATTGTGACTCAATAGAGTTAATGTAGCATGTTTTGAGTTTTTGATATTAGATTATTTCCAGAAACTACAGATTCAGAAGTATCACTGAATAAATTACAGCAAAACTCCAAATTTCGACATGGTTAATACACTGCATCAGAATATCTGAATTTCTCAGCACCAAATCAAGTTAAGAAAAACCTCTGCAAAGCCTGTGGCAGAATGCCAATGCAATAAAGCCACTAGAGTACTAGACCATCCAGCCAAATCACAAGTCACAACCATCAGCAACAGCAGCGAGGGATCATAGGCATGACGATACATCCCAACACAAAGCCACAGTAAAGTGTCAATGGCAAGCTGCATCTATTTTGCTGTCAAGTTTGATAACTCCCGCTTACAGTATAATCAAACACAACGCAGCAACTAATGACGATTTACTGTAATAGCATTACAAAGAAGCTGAAAAGAAAATGGAAGTTCAAAAGTATAATATTGATCAGTTAACAGTTAAACTCATAAACCATGCATCAACAGAATAGGGAATATTCAGTAGTGATGGCTGAAATCTTGGACATGAGTTAAAGCCTCAGCATGTGTACCTCAAGGCTTGCAGCTATTGAGAATCCCTACATCTCATGCTATTTTCCAAACAAGAGAGAAAGTGCAGCTCATAAAAATGTTCTTTTGCAGAAAATAAAAGCAGCTTCACATTAATCCAAATGGTGGCAGTCAACTAACAAGAGTAATAACACTGACCAAGAGTGTACATAGACCAAGAAACAATAAGCCTCCGATCATCCGTAACTGTATGAGTTTGCAGCTAGATGAATAAGGTAAAGGCCATGCCTTATAATATCACTAATACTTCAAGCAAGATATCCAAAATCCATATAAAGGTGACAAAACTAAAACAACAGGGTTAAGGTAAACATCCCAGAGTTGGAAGCTATGATCCACTTCCTATCACAGCAGAAAAGATTCATTCAAAGTGAAGTAATGATACATCACTACATTAAAAGTAAAAGGAAAGAATGCAAACAATAGAAGTTATGAACTTATGATGGGAAATCATATATTGTATACACTAACATTATGGAACATATATAAGGAGCCTCCCTAAAAGAAACATTGTGTCAAAGTTATGAAGAAAATTAACAGCACATATGATTACTACATTACGAGTATACAAGTCATGACATCGTATACAAATCAGATTCACAGTCAATAAAACTCAATAAACACGCTTCAGTCAAGTTACTATTAGATAACACCACGAATTACAGGGGAAAGGAATACAAATCAGATTCACAGTGATACAGAAAACACAATCACGATTTTCATTCAAGAAAAGCAGCCAGAAAAACTGCAAAATAAGAATGAAGTACATTTATTCACCAGCATCCATGAATATAACAATCCCTAATTCCAGGGAAAAATCAATATGTTAATTGGAAAAATACAATATAGGCATGATAGTTGAATCAATTAATATTCTAATTTTCTAGTTCCTCAAAATTCCTTTATGTCATCCCTTTCTCTTATCCAGACTATACCAAAGTATAGAGCCTATTCCTCTATCAGGCTTTTCTAATTTAACTCGTTACAATTCCCAAATCTTATAATTTTAGGTGGAGAAGAAGATTCGAAGCCCAGTTAGCTTCATAAGTTCATACTCACAGACAAATTTCAAGCAGCTGCAGTCTTCTGTGCCTCTGCCTCTTCATCGAGCTTTTTCTTGTTCTTTTCAATAGCAGCAGCAACTTCCCCAGGCATGTATTTCTCATCATGCTTAGCCAACACCTCCGTGGCAGAAAAATAACACTCCCCACTCCTCGCCTTTGCTGAAATCTCCTTGGTCTTTCCACTCATACCTGATTCCTTAATCTCATCAGTAAAAGGCTTCACAAATCCTTCTACTACCACTGAGTGACCTTCTCTGAACAAATCGGGCAAGGATCCTTGATACCTAAACATAAATTTAGGATAACAATGTTGATCAACATTAAATGTTGCACACCCATTAAAAATATTAAGCAAATCAGACATCATTGGCTAAGTACAATGGAAACTTATGGTTATGATAAGAAGCAATCATATACTTGATAATGACAACCAATTATTGGTGGAAGCGTGGAACTAGAAAGAATTTCCTAATAGGCCAACAGAAGAACAATTTTGAAAACAGAATAATGAAGGAAAAGGTTCTAAAAAAAGTTTTTTTTTATTACATATATTGATATTAGTCTTAGAATTTCACAACAGTATGTTTCATTATGTTGCTAATATCCCAATTACAGTTCTCTGCTAAAGATACAAAGATGTTTAAACACTATGGCTAAAAGCCAGGCTAAAGACATCCACATTTAAAGCATGACAGAAAACATGTCGTAATTACTTCAAATCAAGCCTTCATGCGGCTTGATCTCTTGACCCCTAGCACTATGGCGTATCCAGAAATTCAATTATGGAAACACAACTCAATAAGAAGTTGGCTAATCTCTAAGCCAACTCACAAACTCACAAACTTCCCAAATTGACAAATCTAACCTCTACCATTAATCCAGTATCATACTTTATCCGATTTTAGGAGTTCAATGTCAAACAACAGTTAATATATAACTTGATTTCGGCATATTCAATAATTAAAGCCGAAATAAAAATTCAATGACAGTATCTTCAGAATTCATTCACAAACGAGTGAAGCAAACTAGAAAAGTGGAACTCCAATCCATATTAACCTTAAAATCTAATCCAAACCATTCAATTCGATATGAACCATAAGATTAATAAGCATCTTATTCAAAAATTACTGACTCAGGATCCAATTTGACAAACTTCCCTAATTGACAACTTCCACCTCTACCATCAATCCAGAATCATTCTTGTCCAATTTAGGAGTTCAATGTCAAACAATACTTAATGTATAACTTGATTTCAGCAGACTCAATAATTACAACTAAATTTTCACTGAATCCAAAAAATGGAAAGAAACTGAAAATCTGCATCAACTTATAATTCCAACCCTAGTTCTTCTAATTAAATATCAATCATAAGATTAATCACCATTATATTCAGAAATTCAGATCCAATTCAACAATTATATATTCAAATTTCATAATCTTAACAGTCAAATCAAAATCCAGATCATCATATTAAGAAGCTGCAATAATTAATCATCAAAATTGCGAAAATAAAAACACATCATCAAAATCAATAAAAGTAAAATACCTAACAACAATATCGGTCATAAGATCGGTGATAACGAACTCCATTTCAGGAGAAGAAGGAGGTTGATGAACACTACCTTCAAGAACCAAACCACCTAATCGAAACTTATTCTTGGAAGGATTCAAATTAAACTTTTCCAACGCTTCAGTAGGAGTAACATAGAAAACGAGCTGATCCTGGAAATTGTTAAGGACTAAGATGACGAAACCAGCGACGCCGGAAAAGGTGAGAGCGTAAGTCCATAGACGGCGGTTTTGGAGTTGGCGAGCGCGAGCTCCGATGTCGACCTTTTTGGGGTTGCGGCGGGGATGGCGGTGGAGAAGGCGGCGAGAGAGAATTGAGGGCGGCGGAGTTGGTGGTGGTGGAGAGGAGAGAGAGTGGGAGGAGAGGGGTGAGTGAGGAGAAGGCGGGAGAGGAGGCGGAGAGTGGCGGAGGATCTGGCCGCCATTGATGGCGGGAGGAGAGAGAAAGGGGAGGAAGAAGGTGGAGAAATGGAGAATCAAGACAGGGTTTTTGCGGGGTTTTTTATTTTAGTTTATTTTTATGGTGGTTTGGTCTGGAGTCGGCTTGAATCTTCCTGCTTTCCATATTTTGATTTTTTTTTTCCCAACTTGTAGAAGAAATGAGATGAAATTTGTATTGGAAAATTTATGGAGCAAAAATTGTACTTGAAATATATTTATATTTTTTCGGTAAGGAGAAGAATTCTGATCGAACCTCAACTCTCATATTTATATGTCAATATATGATATGAAGTGTGAAGTACAGTACTATATGGACTATGGAGTATTTCATTACAAACATTATAAGTAAATACGAAGTATATATATTATAAGGTTAATAAAATTACGAAATTTAAAGAGAAATAGAGAATTAATAAACGATTATATTAGTACTTCATACAAGTATACGGTTTAAATGTCTAGTGGCTAGTGTCTAGTGAATGACTTAGGGCGTGTTCGGCGCTAGGTTTAGAGTAGCTTTTAGTGGTTTGACTTACTTAACAAAAAATATGAGTGTTTGGCAAAATAGTGATAAGGATAGCTTTTTGTGGCACAAGTAGAGGAAAAGTTGATATGAGTAGTAGACAATTTTATTAAGTTAAATATTATTTGTTTATGTAAAAAACTATTGAAATACAACTTGTAAAAAATGAGTGTAATATCATATGATGCGGAGAAGTATCTTTTTCAACAAAGCATACGAATAAATCAGCATACGAATAAATCACAATAAACTATTGAATTACAGCTTGTAAAAACATGAGTGCAATATTATGTGATGTGGACGAAGTATATTTTTCTTCAAATTAATTCATGAGATTTATCATCTAAACACAAAGCAAAGTGAACAAGGAAAATTATTTTCCTAATTAAGAACTGACTATTGTCACTTTTTTTTATGGGCTTGAAAGGGAAGGAGGTTGAGTGAGTGGGCTTACATCAATCCATAAAAATCCCCAATTGATTTACAATTATTCGGCCCTAAAGGTATTTTATATAGCCATGGACATAATAAAAAGTAATTATTATTTATTGAGCTAAATCCTGCTATTACTTGTGTTCATAAGAAATCCTCCTACCAGTCTCAATGTGATTCAACATTTTTTTACTGGAGTCTATCCTTGTACAAATTATTTAAGAATTTGAAGTAATGGTGAAGTAATAAACTAATAACGCAAATACGCAAGTCATCGAAGATCACACAATAGAATACAATCATGTATCGTCATATCAAGTATTTATACTTACATCCTACTTAACTTACTTCATTTTCTCATGATAATTAAACGATAATATATAAAATAGACAATGCCATCATAATTAAACATTATCACTTATCTATCATTTTTTCACAATTTATTAGAAAGCGTGTAACTTTTCATTTCTAGCATTTGTCTGACTTATACTCGTAACAATTTGGTAAATTACTCAATAACTAAAATAAAGACAAGTTTGTTAAATTTGTTGTGCATGCCCACTTAAATGCAAAGTGCAAATTCAAGCACCCATAATTGATGAAACAACGCTTTATTGAAGATTCTACTCACCTACTCACCTCCCTTTTATAGCTTCACAACTTTGTTTGGTTTTTTATGAACTTCATGAATATGATTTATAATGCATGAACGACGTACCATTAATTTGCTAATGACCAATTAACAGAAAATTAAATCTAGTTATTTAAATGACAGTAATAAATAAGCAAAATCAAAAACGTAAAACAGAGTAGTCAATTATTCCAATTCATAAAACTTCACTAGTATTGAGTATTCTCTTCATCTACAACGACTTACAAACCGATTACAGGCTGATTACACTCATCAAAGACTAAACACAAAAATAGTAGACTACTATTAGTAATGCAACATAGAACAAAACGACGCAACGATACTATTAAACGACATTAATAGAGTAGAGCTAAATCAGGTCAATTATTAGCATGACTAAAAACATCAAAGACCTTGATAAATTTCATCCATCTGATTAACCACCACTGGATTGTTCATAATCACAGCAGGAGAAGGAGCAGTAGACTGAGAAGAAGTAGGCCGTACATTACCAAAGCTAGACTCTCTCACATCAGATCCATACTCACCAGCAGTAATCGGATAAAATCCTGATCGTCCAGTAGAAACAGGAATTGATTGACGGAGATGAGGGAATGGAGAACCAATACCGTGAACAACAAGTTTGTAGTTGTAGATGAGGTCTGGATACTTGATTTTCACGTAGTTGATTCTCAACGGAGACGAACTTCCGCCGCCGCCTGGAGTGGTGATGGTGAGAGTTTCGCCGGATTCGAACGTCGGAAGCACCGTTGACGGCGGCAGAGACTCGAGATCGGCGAGTTTCAGCATTTGGTTAGGGATTATGTGAAACCTAACGCCATGGACGTAGGAGTGACCTCCTTGGAAGATGGTGGAGTCGTCGACGGCGAAGATCGTCATGTTTTGGAGAGTGACGAGCTCGGCGTACTTGACACGCATCGCGAGTGCGAGGAAGCTGTAACCGCTCAATCGGAGACGGATTCCGGCGTCGACGAGCATCATCCGAGTCAGGGCGACGGAAGGTGAGAGATGACGGAGAGAGAGTGACGTCATCCTGTCCATTGAGCAGGAGTACGGCGAGAAGTGAGAGATGAAGCCTTGGAGGCCATGGATGATGACGTGGTCGCTGATGAAGAGGTTTGGATGAGTGATTTCGGCGCCACCGATGAAGATTTTGGTGGAATTTGCGGCGGAGGTGACGGTTAAGCAGCGGCCGGGGAGAATCGACTCGATTTTGGTGCCGAAAATGAGTTGATTGAGGTAATCCAGAGGATAGAGTCCAGGAACAGTGTGCTCCTGGAGAAGGAGAGTGAGCGAGCACGAAGTGCAAGTTCGCACCGAAGCATCCGCTGGAGCGAAGACGGTGACAGGGCCGAGCCACGGTGAATGCGAGGCGGAGGACAGAGAGAGCGAGTGCGACGCCATAGCAAGGTCAGTGAAGCCGAGCTCGGCGAGAATTTTGGTGATGGAGTAGAGAGGAGAGAGAAACTCAGGTGAACGCAGAGCTTCGGAGGAGGAGTACGGAAATGGCGGCGGAGTAGAGGCGGTGGAGGAAGGTGGAGGTGAGGTTGAAGATGAAGAGAATATGAAGGTTGATGACTGAGCATTAATGGCGGGGGGAAGGACTGAAAGTGAGGTGAAAATCACCATGAAGATGATGGCATGGTGTGGCAGAGACGCCATTGTTGAGAGCTTGAAAATGGAGGAGAGGGAAAGAGTGAGAATGAGGTCTCAAGTGGAAGATTGAAAAAATGAGAAAACTAATGGGGTATTTATAGAAATCAGCCACATTGCCACGTTGGCGATTCTATACCCTTCTATCTTCCCGCCACAAAAAATAAAATAAAAACTCCTTTTTTTTTTCGATTTCATCTCGTTTACAATGAAATACAGAAATAGTATAAATAAATACGTAGTACCATTTTGTTAATATGTACGGAGCACTACTTATGTAAGCATAAGCTTGGCTTGTTAAATAATTGATGCAAGTAAAAATATGAGGGAATAGTAAATTAGTACAGTAATAGTGGACTTCATTCCATAAACAAATGCATATTGCATCATTAATCATTATTTACTTGCAATAGATAATGGTCAATGCAAAACCATGGAATTAGTTTTCAACTTGTAATATATTTCAGCATTATTCTCAATCTCTTATTTTATCCATTTTCTCATTAGAATGCGTGTTTAATTTACATCAAAAAATAAAAATAAATATATTGGTATTAAAACAAAAATGATTTATCCAAATTACTAAAAACTAATATTTGAAAATATATTCATATATTGTAGAATAGTTTCACGCAATCAATTGGCGGACACTTGTTATGGAACAAAAATAATCTACTTTAGCGGACACTTGTTATGGAACAAAAATAGACCGTAAATATGAAATCATTCTTTAACCTTTAGATGCATTTTCTTCTCTTTTGTTAAAGCCCAAGGATGATGCCATTGATTTAGCTAACAATTACTTCGTATTACAAAACACTTTACACAAGCAAATACTCCGTAAGTTACTGGCTTTAATTGGTAAAGAGATTTTTAGAGTGCTTTTAGCTTATTGAGCCTATTAGAGGTTTGACCATACATTATTGTAAAAGCTATTTTGAGTTTCTAAAATATGAGCCTCTTAAGATTGGCTTATTGAATACTTCGTATTTAGCTTTATTTTTATATTATATACACCAAAACAAATAACAACTAACAACTATTTGCAAAATGCTTTTGTACAATAAACTAATTACAATCAGCTAAGCTAGTCAAACTAGGTAATAACACAACCAATTAGTTTAACCAGTTAATACAAATATACAACTAGCTATATCAATGAGTTACCATATAATACTATGTAATTATTAAAGTAGGTATATATGACTATATATAATACATTAAGATTCACTCATTGTTTGTTTCAAAAAAAAGATTCACACTCATTATACATTAAGATTCATACTCGTTATAATTATTGAACAATCATCATTATTTCACAATATCTTTAATATGAAATACAAAAAAGTAATAAAATAAGCGTTTAAAATAAAGTTAATAATATTGAAATTTTGGAATGCAGCCACAAACTAGATTTTACAAAAATAGAAAGAAACAACTATATGATTACTCCGTATTTGAGTAAGTTAAAATCCCGGTTGATAATCGTGAAAATTAGATAATACACCCGGGTGTACCATGCTCATGGTGCACCCGGGTAAACAAAAAAAGGCGGAAAGAACATATAGTGTTTGATAAAAAACATACCTATGTTTGACAAAGAACATACCTTTAATATGTTATTTGAGTGTGATCAATGTGTTCTTTGAGTAAAATTATATGTTCTTTACATTATAACTTATGTTATTTAACATATGTTGATAAACATATTTATTTTTGGGTTTAATAATACAAAGTATGTTCTTTGAATTTGGCGTGTATGTTCTTTAAGGTCGTAGTGACGCCCAAATTCTATTTTTTATTATCATGTCATATTTAAATTACTTTTATTATCGCACATTCTTTGAGTTTGATTAGTGTGTTATTTAGGTATTAACTATATGTACTTTACAATATAAATTATGTTCTTTTTAACATTTGGTATTTTGAAATTTGATATTGAAATCTTAAATTATTTTTAATTGAAAATAATGTTAGAGTAAAAAAAACTAAATTATTATGGGAAGTTGAATTTTTTTTTGGAGAGATAGAAAACTATTTTTTGGGGAAATGATATATTTGGTAAGGATTTTTTAAGAGGTGATCAACATTGGCATGACTCACATCCCGACCCGATCCGGCCCGAAATAGGGTGGGTTTGGGCAAACCTAAAAATGCATTTTTAGTTAAAACTCGATCCGGGTTCGAAAAAAAGCCCGAAAACCCGCTACTTTTCTACGGGTTTGAGCACGAGAAATTATGATATGGCCCGGCCCTACTCGATTATTTATCACTTCTAAATTTTTCCCGTTAATAATGTGTAATTTTTCAGAAAATTTTATCAAGCTTTTATCTCGTTCTTTTTATTATATCTTTATGTTCTTTGGTAATGCATGTTTTTGTCAAATACAATCATGTTCTTTGTCAAATACATGTATGTTCTTTATGAAACACCGGATGTTCTTTCCGCCTTTTTTTTATTTATCCGGGTGTATGATGAGCACTATACACCCGTGTGTATAAACCACAGATTAGATAATCGTGTTAAAAATTTGACATTAAACATACATATCCTTTGCTATAAAAATAAAATCGTAACTGCACATATGATTTATTTTTGGTAAGCAAATTCATTCTTTTATTAACTTGATTCGTTATGAAATTTTGATGCAAAGATTTCTTATGACTAAGATAATACGAAGTACACAATATGAATCAAAAATAATTTTGAAAGAGATAAAGATAATCAATAATGATACTTTGGCTACAATAACGGCTGGCAATGAAATCATTGAGGCTAAAAATGATATTTGGATCTGTGAGATTTCAAACGGAAGTTTAACTTATTATTACCATATATAAAAGATTATTATAGTATTATTACTCTATATTATGTAATTAACTTTGATTTTTAAGAAAATTTGATGTCAACTATCCTAGTCATAAATTTTAATAATATTTTGACACGTTTTTTAGCTTCTAAATTAACACGAATGGAATTTTTATTTTTGTTAACTAATATAAATCATATTTTATCATTCAAATTTCCATTTTAATTAATTAAACTTGATTACACAACCTTAATTTCCAACCTAATATGGAAGCTCAAAGCCACAAAGCAACGTTAATATCTTAAGAGTTACAATTGAGATAATATATTATGTAATTAATTAAGCAGATAGCAAGTCAAAGAGATTTTACTTTGGCAATATCAATGATAAGAGATTCACAAGGTTGGCACAAGTTGTCTTACCATATATGAAGGATCTTTGGTAATTAATAACACTCTTTGCTATCCCTATAAAAGCCCTTCATCTAATTAATCTTAGTACTCTCTTAAACTTTAATCTCATTCAAGCTAATAAAAACCCTTGTAGCCATGGATTTAAAGTCATCCTCGAGTTCTTTGGAGTCTCCGTCGTATAGTTCTAGCTCAAAGAACACCATGCTCGATCTTAAGCTTTCGAGCTTTAGCCAAGATATGGTATCAACCCAACATGCTAATGGTGACGTGGCCAAGGAATTATCATCCGATCACCAAAAACGTATTAAGCCTCGTATTAGAGATTTTACGTGCAAGTATTGTCCAGGGAGGTTTTCGACTTCTCAAGCTCTAGGCGGCCATCAAAATGCTCATAAACAAGAGAGGGCTCGCGATAAGATGAGACAAGCCACGGGGTTCTCACCTTATTCGAATACCAATAACACGTACCAACCTTATTTTGGTATGTACAATAACTTACCATACGGTGGATATTGCAAAAGATCACCCCTTGGTGTAGTCAAAACGAATTCCATGGTTCATAAGCCGGGTTCGGGTTATCGTATGCCAATGTATCAAGGTTATAGACACGGGTATGGTAGCACAAACCAGCCTAAAACATCATTGCTAGGAAATTCTCAACTATCATCATATGATAATTTGAGAGTGTCAAATAATAATATTACGAATAATTATTCTCCATTCAATAACTTGAATAATCTTTCGAAATCATTGCCTACTCTTGTTGAAGGAGGTTCAGCTCAAATCCTACGTGGCGTAGACGAAAATGTGATCGTTGAGAGTGATAATTCTGAGAAAGGAGAGCTTCGTATTGATGGTGGTAAATTAGATCAAGTGAAGCCAGAGAAGTCAGGCCTTGATTTGTCCCTTAGGCTATAATTTATATTATTTATTGTTCATGGCAATTGAAGCCTTTTTCATTTGTTTGATTGGTTAGATACATAATTAAACGATTTTTATTTATGTGTGTGTTTTATTGGTTTAAATACATAATCAAAAAATATTTAAGGGTTTTTTTTTAAAAAAAAATAAAATAAAAAAAAAAAATAAATGAGTGTTAAATTGACTACATATTAGGTACAATAATTTCTGATACATTGTTTGATAATCATTTGATGCAACTCTATCTTTCTATTTGTTGGGTTTATTCCTCAAACAATGAACCAACGCTTCATTCACTTCTCAGTTTTCAATTAATTTATACATCAAGGGCTGCATTAGTTTTTTATTTAATTTTTTTCATGAAATGTTGCATTAGTTTTTTATTTAATATTTTTTAATCAAACTCCCATTTTCGTTAACCATTCAAATCAAAATGCACTTTACTTTCTTCCTAATTAAATTTCAGTTATGAATGTAATCACTCTTCCCTTCTTTCTACTCCAAATCATTTTTATTCATCCCCGATTTTTAATAACTAAAGCACTAATTCATTACTCTAATATTAATTACTTTATTTTGTACAAACAAAATTAGCAAAAAAAAGTACAATGCAATTCATGATTTTGTATATATTTTTTAAACTTATTTTCAATTTGCTTATTCATTATAGGTTTATGTCAAGTTGTGTGAAGTTTTTGGTTTGAATTGATATTATTTGTTGAAATATCTTCGCAGCCATCAAGGTATGTTTCTTTGATTTTTTTTTTTTTTTTTTTGGAATAATTTATTAAAATTTTAATCATGTGTCAAAAGCAATATTAAATTGTATGTGTGATCACTCTAGTGTTTTTTTTAAAACTATTTAGTTTGCATCTTTCCGTTCCTCTCAATCTATATATGTACATTTCCGTTCCTCTCACTAGCAGTAGATTTCATTGAACGAAGTAGATCTTTGTATTTTTCCTCATTTTGCATCTGAGTCAAGAAGTTTAGTCGCTAATTAAGTTTTAATCCATATAAAATTTTTTAATTGACAGATATTTTGAAAAATAGAATGGTAGTAGGCATGGCTTTCAATGTCGTTCAAGAGTTGCAATCCAATTTTTTGCTAGGAAATTTCGAATTTAAGGAATTATATTTCATACATATGTTCGTTATTAAAATTATTCCCCTTGTTTTCACTTTTAAAGGCGCAGCATACATCACTTGATCAATCCTCCCATTAAAAAATTTTTACAAATAAATATAATCCGTGTATCGCACGGGCTGAATACTAGTTTTTTTTATAAGTGGGCCCCTTGTACCCCTCTCCCTCCGCCCCTCTTATTTTGTAAAAACCCACTACTATTTTATTATTTCTCTCTCCTACTAATCCCACTTACGCTACTTTTTTTTTTATTATTATTTCTCTTTCTTGCTAACAATTAAATATATCCCCACCAACTATACTTTATACTTCCTTCGTTTCTATTTAGTAGAGACGTTCAATTTAGGTACACATATTTAGGAGAGGAGAGAGTGAGAGAGAATGATAAAGCAAGCGGGGTAGCTAATAAATGCAAAGTAAAAAACTTACCCAAAAAGAAAACTTATCAACTAAAAAAATGGAGGTAAGTATTATAAAATTCTCTTTTTAGGTTCCCACCCTATAATTTTCATAAAACTTTATGCAACACCAAGTATTGCAATTGTTACAAAACGGAGGTAGTAATATCTAATGTGTACTCTACGAATTTTTTATTTTCATTAATCACCAAAAACACCTTACATTTTTTGGTATGGGAGAATGGGAGATTTCAGGTACGGTGACTATTGTTTGTTACTCGGACATAAGAAATATAAAGTATTTTACTGTATAAGCTAATATGAGTACCACATATTTATATTGCCTTCAATTTTTTTTACTTACCTTTAAAATATTGCTTACAATTTTCTCTCTTTTTCTTTTTTTTTTTTTTTTTTTTTTTTTGGAACGGGTTCAATTTTCTCTAGTTTATTCTTTTGTATTTCTTTCACACACAAAAATAAAGAGTTTATTCTTTTGTACTGGTATTTTTTTAGGGGACTTTCGAAACAAAAAAGAGAGAGAAAAAAAAAAATGCTTCCCTCCCAAATCCCTAACCATAACAAGTTAACTGTCAAGTGCAACCGGCAGTTATTATTCAAATTTTAAAACGTGCCATAACCATGCAACTAACACTTTTCTTTGAATATAAATTAACCAACCTCCTTTTACATTTTTCAGTTTCCATTTTTTTTTCATTTTGTCTAAGAAAATATTTCTTTCTATCTGAATTTTCTTAGTGATTAAACTCTTTTGATTTCATTTTGTTCTTAACAAAAAAATGGCACCAAGAACAACTTTTTTTGCCCATGTTCGACAATCCATGATCCCAAACGCCCTGCGATCATACCTTGCAGAGTTTATCTCCACTTTCATCTATGTTTTGGCTGCTGCCGGATCCGCCATGGCATCTCGTAAGTTCGGTCCTCTAAATCAACTAATATTTTTTACTAATCCCAATTACACCATATGCTTTATGTGGTACATAAATAAGCATACAAATATTAGCATAATGATTTTAATTTCTCTTGATATGACCATTTACGTATCTTATTACAATATTACATGAGTCTAATTGTTATTATTATTTCCTCTTGTGTTCTGTTGCACACTTGCACGTATTTTGTAGTTTGGAGTATATATACAACTAGTTTTATTCCACTATTAATTAATGTAACATTTTTATTTTATTTTTTACATAAAGGACGAATTATTCTATGAAGTATATAGTTGTAATTGATTGGATGAATTGGTTATATTTTGATTGTATAATTTGGCCATGTCATGTTATTTATTATTTTTAATTTGTAGGAAAAATAATGCCAGATGCAAGATCAGATCCCTCTAGCCTGGTGGTTGTAGCCATAGCAAATGCATTTGGCCTAGCCTCCGCTGTTTATATCTCAAGTAGCGTTTCCGGTGGCCACATCAATCCGGCTGTCACGTTTGGGAAGGTTGTAGGGTGTCACATTCCAATTCCTACCGCCATTTTCTATTGGATTTCCCAAATTCTTGGTTCTGTCATGGCTTGCCTTCTCCTTAAGACCGTCACTGTTAATCAAGTAATTTTACTTGCAGTATTTTCTACTTCCCCTCTTATATTTAGTTATTACACTGAATATATGTTTTGTAGAAGAATGCACAACATTTTTTTTTTTTGTGTGTTCTTTATTTAAACATTCGTACTACGGATTACTATCGTAATATACGGTACACAATTTTTAAAGTTAGACAAAGAAAAGTTAAATGTAAAAGAGGGAATATAATAAAATAATTAATATCTTTAATCTATATAAGAATTTAATGAATCAATTTTTTGAGGAGTTTGGTTTCTAATTAAAATTTTATAATTGCGCTTATGTTTTTATGCAATTTTTTAAAATGGTGACTGTATATGTTTATAACGTATCAATGTATGTATTTCATACATAGTAACATGGATTGCATATGCATGCATATAGATGATAGATTTAGTTTATACTTTTTTTATCCATTTTTTTCCATTCCAATCTATGTATGTTTTTTTTTTAACCTTATTTGTTGGATTATTGAATATTTGCTTTGCATGCAGAATGTAGTGCCCCATGCAATATCGGAAGAAATGACCGGATTCGGAGCATCCGTTTTAGAAGGTGTACTCACATTTGGATTAGTCTACACTGTATATGCAGCCAAAGACCCAAGACATGGTCAATTGGGCTCCATTGGACCCTTAGTCATTGGGCTAATCACAGGAGCAAATGTGCTAGCTGCTGGTCCGTTTTCGGGTGGATCAATGAACCCGGCATACTCATTCGGGGTGGCTGCTGTTGGTGGGAGTTTCAAGAACCAAGCAGTCTATTGGATTGGACCTTTGCTTGGAGCCTCGGTTGCCGGTCTGTTGTATGACAATGTGGTTTACCCGCCTCATGATTTGGATCCTCAACGGTGTGGCCAAGAGGGGCCTCGTGTTTGAATGGGACTAGCTAGTTGTTTATTTGACTTAAGAATTTATTTGGTATTTGTAACCTTCGTCAAACTTAAGATAATCTCTATTGGTAGTTCTTAGATAGCCTATTTTAGTGTGTGGTTTGTACTTATATAACATCTTAAGATTCTTAACATGTAATGGTTGTATTCGGAGTAAGATTGTGACGTTTATGTACTTGTATAACTTTTTATATAGACCTTTCTCTTTATTTTATTTACTTTGCGTTATCTTAATTTAGCTATTTAATTAGGTCTCAATGTATTGATTATATTGCTATTGTAATATGCATCAAATTGAAAATTTAAAATAATTTTTTTAGTGAAATGACATAGTGCCACCTAACAATTTGACAAATATTTGTAAAATCAATTGGGGCTAAATTAAGTTTGACCAATGTTGAAAATTTAAGACTCGATATTGGAAAGACATTAAACCCAATAAATAACTAACTTTTCAAGAATAAATGAAAATAAGGTGAATAGAACAGTGCCTCAATGCTCAAAGTCAACTTCATTTCCAAGATGTTTGTATTTTTTTTTTTTTCAAACAAGTTGTATGTTGTTGATTAAGCTTATTTAACCAGTATATGAAAAATCAAGTTTGTTTTTTTTTTCCCCTATTTTTAAAGTGAAAAAGCTAAGAAAAAAAATCAAGTTTGGCGGTAGCGTTTTAGGTAGTGATTAGCGTTTGGACCAAGTCAAAACACTAGTAAGAACAAATAAGTGTATTTGGTAAGGTAGCGTTTTATGTAGCGGTTAGTGGTAGAGATAGCGTTTAGGTAAAGGTAGCGGGTAGCTTTTGATATATTTTGTTTACTTTTTAAATATTTTGCATGTATTTTTATTGTATTTTAACATTTCAATCGCTATTTTTGCCAAACACTCATACTATAACCACTACATTAATAGCTAACCTCTACCCACTACTAATTGACAGCTAGATCAGCTACTCGCTACTCTAACAGCTATCCGCTACTCTACCGCTTAAAGCTGCCCGCTACCACTAGTTTTGCCAAACAGAACATAAGAAGCGGAAGCCATTCTCACAAGGACAATTAAACTTGAGTTCGAACCGTAAACATTCAAATACTCTGTATTTTAGGCATAGGCGATTAGGCCCAATTCATTTGAAAAAATGGGCAAAAAAAAATATGGTAATAACAATAATAAGTTAATCGCAAATGAGGAAAAAAAATGAAACAACTTGAAAATAGTCTTCGTACGCAGCCATTTGATCCCATTATTGTTAGTCACATAAGCAGAATTATTAAAAAATGGGAGAAACTCCTCTTATATGGTCAAAATTCTAGGGGGATCATAAGGCGGAAAAAATGGTTATCCTAAGATGATAGAAATACTAGGTTTTTTCACCACCGAATGAGAAAAAAGATTGCAAGTTCTACCATTTATAGACTAAAAAACGGTCAGGGTATTTGGGTGGATACCAAAGATGAAATTAACACACTTCTTATAAATTCGTTTAAATCAATATTCAAGTCGGATCATGGTTCTTCAAGACGATTTTACCTAGATTTTATCGAACCCATTACTACAGCTGACGATTGTAATTCTCTTATAGCCCCTATCTCCGATGAAGAGATAAAAAAAATGCCTTTGATATGAATCCCGACAAGGCACCAGGTTCTGATGGATTAGGGGCAAAATTTTTCCAGGCTTATTGGTCAATTATAGAAAAAGATATATATTTAGCAATTCAAGGTTTCTTTCACCATGGTCAACTTCCGCCCACTTTGAACCATACTCTTATTACGCTAATTCCAAAAATCGAACTACTGGAAACGCCAAGTCATTTTGTCTTGTCAACACAGTTTATAAGGCAATTTCAAAAATTCTAGTTAATCGATTATGTCCAATCCTGAAGGAAAAAGTTAGTCCACTTCAAAACGCTTTTACTCCGAATCGTTCTATCCATGATAACATTCTAATTGTTCAAGGAGTGTAAATACTTTCCATAAGTCCAATAATAAAACAGGATGGTGTGCCCTTAAGCTAGATATGGAAAAGGCTTATGATATAGTAGAATGAGATTTTCGTTGGGAATGTTTAAAAGCATTTGGTTTCCCTCTACAATGGATTGCTTGGATTAAAGAATGTGTGGTCAAAGTCTCTTATTCTATAAAAATTAACGGCACTTCCACTGAATGGTTTAAACCATCAAGAGGCCTTTGTCAACGAGACCCTCTATCCCCTTACCTCTTTATTATTTGCATGGAGGTACTAATTAGGAAACTTTCTATTGAAAGTCTTAAGACCAAATCTGGAATAGGCTTCAACATTTGTCCTCTTTCCTTCAATATCCCTTGTCTTTTATTTGCAGATGATAATCTTATGTAATGTAGAGCAACTTCTAGTTCCTGCAATAGATTGAAAGCCTTACTTGATGATTTTCGCAAGAAGTCAGATCAACTAATTAACTTTCACAAATCGTTTATTTCTTCTCGAAAAAAAATACCTAATTCAAGGCGTATCCATCTAGCTAGTCATTTTAACATGACACCCAAATCATGTCTAGGTCGTTATCTTGGAGTGCATTTTAGCCCCTATTATCCCAAGAAAGAAGATTACAAGATTATCCTCCACAAAATTGAACAAAGAATCCAACATTGGGAATCAGGTTTTCTTTCCAAAGCCGGTCGACACACTTTAATCCAAAGCAATCTAGAGGCTCTACCCTCGTACATATGCTCTTCCTCGCTCTTGCCAAATGATGTTGCTTATAAAATTGATTGTTTACATCAAAATTTCTTTTGGCGACAACAAAAAGATAAAAACAGTACTGCCCTTATATCATGGGATAAAATTTGTCGTCCAAAGAATGCGGGAGGTCTACGGCTTCGTTGTACCTTACCACTTAATAAAGCTTTCATAACTACATTAGGTTGGAAAATCATGTCAGATCCTAACAACCTTTGGGTAAACGTCGTTAAAGATAAATATTTGCAAAGATCATCACTATTTGAATGTAAACACAGTTTGAAAGATTCTCATATATGGAGAAAGATCCTTGCACAACGAGAAATATTGAGAAAGGGTATTCGTTGGAAAATAGGAAATGCATGGCAAAGACATTTTCTTTTGGATCGGAAACTGGGTGGCTAATAAGAGCCTTTTAGAGACCCTTCAAATAGATGGTTCTCAAGTTTATCTTGACACTAGAGTATCAGACTTTATTCTGCCCAATAAACAATATGGGATAGACAAAAATTAAGAGCACTTCTCCCTGAAAACACAACAGCCCAAATCATGGGCATTTATGTACCACTTAATGATATGATTGACACTCCTGTATGGGGCCTCACCACACATGGAAATTTTACAGTTAAGTCAGCGACTTGGTTAGCTCATAGTCTCGATCTTGAAGATAATAACTGGCCCCATTGATGGATTTGGAAAATTGACATTCCCCCGAAAAACCAGATTTTCCTATGGCAAATATTCCATAATAGTTTGGGTTTCCGAGATACTCTTCATAGATGGAACATTATCCCGCTTATCATTTGCCCGATTTGCAATCATCGAAATGAAACGCTTGATCATCTTTTACTCAATTGCTCAAGAATTAGAGAGATGTGGACTCTTCCTTTAATAAAAAAATGGTTAGATTGTACAACTCCTTTGAAAGTTTAACAGAAAACTTTCTATTTCTTAGAAAACGCCCTAACACTTTAAGGAAATTTATCTTCCTCATTTGGAGTATTCGGAAAGAACAAAATGTTATTATCTTCAGCAACGAGACCTTTGACATTTCTAGAAGATACCATCAAGCGCAATTTGCGTTTAATGAGTGGCACCAAAGATGCCTCTTAGATACCTTTTCCTCTATAGGATCTCCCATTCCGAGATCCCATACATATTCTTCTCATTCACTGTCCCCTTCTTCCATCCTTGTATCATGGAAGACTCCTCCTATCAACCACTTTATATATATTAAACTCAACTTTGACGAGTCCGTTCGCAACAATTCAGCAGCAGCAGAAATCATCATCAGAGATAGCAATGGAGCACTCATCAAGGCATCTGCCTTCAACCTCAGCAACACCAAAGCTTTCATAGCAGAAGCTATAGCTCTTCATAAAGGAGTGCAACTAGGCAACTAGCTCTTCAATGCGGTATTCAAAACATTCAAAGTGGAGGTGATAATTTACTAGTCATCAACGCTATAAAAGGCATTTGGATAGTCCCTTGGCAGATTGAGCATGTTATCAAAGACACTCATTCTCTTCTCACTCGGTTTCAAAGTTGGAGTATCCATCATATTTATCGAGAGGCAAATCGTACAACGGATTGGATTGTTAATTAGTTTATGATAGTATGAATATTGATGTTTGTAATAATTCTAGTTTATTTTCTATTCTTTCGACTGATATATTAGGATTACCCCTCGTGAGGAGGACTTCCTAATTATTTTTATCTTACCATTTAAAAAAAAAATAAAAATAAAAAAATACATGTACTCGTATTTGTATATTGTATAACCCGAAACGGACTCCCGTTGGATAATTGCGCAATTTTTTTTTTCCCTTTTTCGTATGTTTCGCGTAATTTATGCTTTTCTCTCTCCTCGACCTCATAAACCCTAATTTCATTACCAGTTCTCCCTCTTTCTTCAATTAACATCTGCAATCTTCAAATTAATTCCCATCTCATCAATTTCTAGCTTTAATTATCTCGAATTTTCTCCATGGATGCTCAGAGAGCGCTTCTCGATGAACTCATGGGCGCAGGTAATTGAATCAGTAAATTAATCTCCCCTTCCTTTTCAAGAATTTCCTTGATTTTATTGAAATTCGATTCAATTTGACTTCAATTCATGTAAAATTTATGAAATTGGTTGAATTTTAAGATTAATATTGCGTGATTTCAGCTCGGAATCTGACTGATGAAGAAAGAAAGGGGTATAAGGAGATTAAGTGGGATGATAAGGAGGTTTGCGCGTCTTATATGGTTCGATTTTGCCCTCACGACCTCTTCGTCAATACTCGCAGTGATCTTGGTTCGTCTTCGTTTCCTTTGGTTGAATCTTTATTGCTTCTTCTATTGTACATGTGTTTAGAAGAAGATTTTAGGATTGTTTGGTTGGTAATAATGTAATATAGCATTATCTAGTGGGTTTATTGTGCACTATGAGATCGATACTTGGAATAGCGGTTCCCATATACTATAGTGGTCATCCGAAAAATGTTGCCACCATAAGTGACTTGGGAAGGGGTGTTGTGCTTGTGGCAGTGATTTGGCTATAATGTCTGAGTGGTGTGGGTGCAGAGTAAATTCACTACTTTGTGCTATTTTGATAATAAGTGGTTTATGGTGGGTTGAATGGGTGATGATATAAGCTTAAATTACGGAACTAGTTTATAACGGATGTATCCTTTCAATGCATTTTTTTCTTCCATCAAACGATGCTGAGGCTACAATTATTGTTACATGTAATGTGATCGGTAAATATTATATATGACTCTTAAGCAGCTCTTATATTGGAATAGGGGGTGTTGTAGTTATTTGTTGAAGAATGGATTTTAATTGGTTTTTTTAAGATGACTTTGTTGAGGAAAGTGATGGCCTGATGGGTATGAAACCCAATGTATTTTAATGTACAAGTTGACAGTAAATAAGTCTTGATGTTTGTTTGATTGGTTGGCTATAAGGTTTCAATTGATTAAACTATGTGAACTGTGAGATGTACATCATCTTTTTAAATTACTGTTGTTAAGATAATGAAGTTTTGTTGGTCTTAGTTGAATTCCGATGGTTTTCCCTTTTTGTAATCTTTTGTTTATATCTGTGCTTCAGGGCCATGTCCAAGGATTCATGACCAAAAGCTGAAAGAGAGGTAATGGATTTTGTATGTGCATCTATATTGTAAAGAGTTTTTTTTTGGGATTTTGGGAAGGGTACTATGTGAGTATGTGGGATTATGTTGCTTGCTTGTATTAGGTGTTTGATTGTATGTGAGGATGCCATTTGAGCAATTGAACTTGGGTTCTGCTCTTGCAGACTGTGTAATTATTATTGATAATTTTTTTATCTGTTTAAAAGTAAGTTACTTCCTTTTATATATTTGGTGTAGGATGGGATTTTAATTAGGAGTTTCTCAGGTGCTTTGCTAATATGACATATGGAGGTCTGGATGTTACTTGGTTTACTCTTTGAGGTAACTGATTTTAATACTTTTCAGGTAGATCCTTTGGAGAGAAGGAAGTTTGTATCTAGTGTTAGATATCTTAAAACTGAGTTTCTAAGGTGGATGAGTAGTTAGATACCCCTATATGTCATTATATGCTTATAAGTAGTTGTCTAGTATGTAGTATCTGTTATGAATGTTGAGGCAGGCTAATAGCAAAGCAATTGTTTCTGCAAGTGCTTACATGAAAACTTGCATTTTAAGTACTACGTATACCAGACTACCAGTAGCATTCTACAGTAGTACAGTGTAGTCTTAAGCCCTACATATGACTTCTAACCTCGTATTTCCTTTTTGCATAAGAAGTAAATACATTTATGGCAGCAGTTAGTGGTGTTTATTTCTAAGGGGACCTGATTTGCTGTGTGCATACTTGATAACTCTTTTCTTTTTTTTATAAAGCAATTTGTTTGATCTATGGAAATTTTCATTTCACCCATACATGTGCTCAACTGCTCACATAATTTTGAGGGAGAAAGAGGAAGAGCATAGCAATCCTTATACTTTGGAAATTATTCTTCTGCTAATTACTTTTATTGTGCGGTTGTTATCCTGAGGTGATGCATTCAAGCAAGTGGTGGTTGCCCATTGACCAAATATACTACCTCCGTTTCATATTTTTTGCAACTTTGGGGATGAAACGGAGGTAGTAAGTCTTTTTGCAGTGAAATCATCATTTGGCTTACAGCTATTTGCTGGAAATAATCACTGTGTGATCAGCTGAATCCCCAGTTGTAGTACCCAGTCTCTTACTTTCCTAAAGCTTCACAATGTCATTAACATGTGTAGTTTCTGGTTACAATTTGATGAGTGCTCTTTTTATTATTGGTTAAATGTTTAATATGAAGGTGTGAGGACTAAAATATGAAGTAGTGCCATTGGCCCATCATTTGACCTAACATCTTGATCTTTTCTGTGAACTTTTTTTTTTTTTTTTTTTGGTATATTAGTTAATTTTGAGTGCATCGGGACAATCTAGATTTGCTGGATAATTATTGTGTCTTGTCATTCCTGATATGTTTTGTTTATCCTTCATTATTTGCCTAGCATTTGGAGATATTATCCTTGCTTATTTGGTTAGTTAGTAGTTGCTTAGGTTAATCTCTTGCCTACAACATATTTCTATTTTTGCTCTTCTCTTTTTTTTTTACTTCGCTATTACTCTCTTGTCTGCTTCCATCTCTAATATGTCCTGTAATTTGGATGTTTAGCTTCGAGAATTCTCCAAGGCATGACACTTATGTTCCACGCTTTGAGGCTGAACTTGCTCAATTTTGTGAGAAATTGGTGAGTCTTTCCTTGCATTTTTATTTTCTTGGCTACTTTTACCCTTGTACTTTTGATTACAGCCTCTCATTCTATAGCATATCTGGGCTGTGGACTTTGTTGATTTTGCGTTTCAGGTGGCAGACTTGGATAGGAAAGTTAGACGTGGGAGAGAGCGCCTGGACCAGGAGGTTGAACCTCCTCCTCCTCCACCTATTTCTGCTGAAAAGGCTGAGCAGCTCTCTGTGTTGGAAGATAAAATTAAAAATTTGCTGGAACAAGTAGAGTCACTGGGGGAAGCTGGCAAAGTTGATGAAGCAGAAGCACTGATGCGAAAGGTCATTTCTTTTGAGGCTTATGTCACATTAACATTTCAAAACACTAGGCTTTTCAAATTGAGTATTATTGGCTCCATAACATTTGAATATTATTGTTCTGACTCAATATTCTGAGCTTATTGGTTCTGTCGCTCACTTTTGGTTATCCTCTTTTATTTATATTATTGTTATATCTGAGTTTCTGTCATTCATGGTAGATAAGCATTGATTGTGATAACATCTGAGAAATTAATCTTGCAGGTGGAAATTCTTAATGTTGAGAAAACTGCGTTAACTCAACAGCCTCTGAGTGCAGCAACAATGTTGACACAGGAGAAAAAGATGGCACTATGTGAAATTTGTGGTTCATTCTTGGTAGCCAATGATGCTGTGGAAAGAACTCAGTCTCATATTACTGGCAAGCAGCACATTGGATATGGCATGGTCCGTGATTTCATATCTGAATACAAGGTTTGAACTCTCATTTCTTCATTTAACAACCTGTTCTTGTTATTGGATATATTTCTCGTTTCTCATATTTACTACTCTTTACCAGGCAGCTAAAGAGAAAGCAAGGGAAGAGGAAAGATTAGCAAGGGAGAAAGACGCAGAAGAACGTAGGAAGCAGAGAGAGAAGGAAAGTGAGAGCAAAAACAGAAGAAGCATCTCCAGTGAGAGGGATCGTCATCGTGATAGGGAGTATAGCAGAGACCGTGAAAGATCACGAGATTGGAACAATAGAGGTAATCGAAATGACGGAAGAGGAATGGACCGAAGGAGGCATGATGATTATCGTAATGGAAGGGATGGAGGGGGGAGGACTAGGAATTATGGCCGTGAACGCGAAAGGAGCAGGTCACGTTCGCCTGTTAGGCATGGCCACCGGAGGTGACCTAAGAGTCCTGTTTGCCGGTATTAGTGGCCAGTGGGTTGTGTAGATAAACGATGATCTTAAACCTACTGAGGTAGATGCTTTTATATCTCAAGATGTTTTGTGTGTCTGTTTTCAAGGTGTTGCATTGCAGTCTTATTGGGGGTTAAACTTCTTTTTTTATTGTCCCACAGTGTTGAGACTGTACTGTCTCCTCTCAACAATCTTATTAGAGGTCAAAGGGATTGAGGTAGGTAAAACTTCATCGTTGTAATTTCCCCTATAGTTAATTGTAGTTTTGTTGGAATGTTGGATTAAATGCTTTGGTACATGGTCTTTGAAACATCTTTTAGTCCTGCATTTTCTGATCATGCTGGGGGTTCTCAAGAAATTTGCAACTGTGCTGCATGGCTTGTGTGCCAGTGTTAGTAAGGTAACTTTCTGGTTCAGAAAATTTGTTACTCGGTATTTTCTGTATCTTAGGTGCTAAATCTGCATGACCTTTGAAAATTTGCATGCATCTGCATTATAATATTGCTTCTTCTGAAACATAGTTCATGGAACACTTCTCTGACTAGTGAAGATGAATGATGATGGTGTTGGGTTTTGACATCCCCATCAATTATTAGTGGCTTCTCTGAAGCTGAGTGGAAACCTTTCCTGCTTTCTTCCCTTCCTGAGATACTGTAAATGCAGTCCAAATCGTGGCTCTTCAGATATTGCAGTTTGACCTCAGAAACTGAATGCAAACTTCCAGTCCATCTGTAGTGTGGGTAACTTTTCTTGGTCTATTCTTGCTAAGTAGCTTCGTTATTATTCCATCTTTATTAGTGGTTAATTGGTTATCAGGACTGTCCAATGTACCATGCCCTGATGGTTTTGGACGCTTATTTGACACCTTTAACTGGATATGGGTAGGGCATAATTCTTGAAAACTAACAGGAAATCATAGCAAAGCTTAAAACATCAATGTTAGAACAATTCTTATGGGTATAACACTTCTGAAGATCCCAAGTAACATTGCTGTGACGGCTGTTTCAGAGCTTGAGTTCACTTTTTGTGGAATGCATAGAAGTCTGCAAACAACCCAAAATGCTAAATATGAGGGCATCTGCCGATACCTGAAGGTAACTTGAATAAAAACTGTACTACAATTTTTTTAAGGGTTCTCCTTTGCAGGAAGCTGGAGATCAATTAAGGAAAGTTGGTTTGCTTCCACACTGTGAAGTGCCTCTTACCAACTAGATCTTGTCTTGATTGTCTGAGTATCGCACCCCTTGATTTGTAATCATCTCAAAGTTGTTAAGATTGACCGCTGATATATGCTTGGATGGAGGTTGTTGTCTGCTTATAATTTTGCATCGCGCAAGTATGAAACATAAATTTATATCTCTATAATTTGCTATTTTTTGGATACTTGTTGAATCCATCTGCACATTCTGAATATAGATTCACATGTGCATGCATGATGCTTAGTGTACCCTTGGCAGCCTTATATAAGCGTTGTGTATTAAGAACTTGAGATTTCAGAAATTATCTGAATGAACCCAAGTTTACAGTGTCTGTCATTTACTGTCAAGTTCGTTATCGCTACTATGAACGTAAACTGCATCTGAACGTTGAATGCTCATGTTACAGGTTGGTAGTAGAGCAATTTTTACATGAGCTTTAGGGTAAATGACTATCAAACAATAAGGTGTTTTCTTGATTAATCCATGCTCACAGAGCTGGTTAAGAACAGTATAATTACCTGAGAATATTGTGATATTAGTAATAGTTCAGGGTTAATTAGAAAGACTTCACTTGACAAAGGTCCGTTCAAATGTACATAATTGAAGCATTGGGAAGAAGATTAGACCCTTTAAGTCCTTAAGTATGAAATGCGAGTATATGTTATACGCGAGAGCCAATTTTATTAAAGACCAAGAAAAATGAGACATTGATTTAAGGACGATGAGAGTGCAATTATATTTTTATTTCAGACTTCTTACTATTTTCCTTCGTATTATGATTAACATATATGGGGTAGATTTTTAAAATTATTACTGTAAGGTAAGGAATTGTAGTCTTTTATGGTGGCTCAAGCCAACCAAAGTACCATTCTTCCCTACGAAAAGCATGATTTAAAATATTAAACTATTTTAAGGATTTTTTACGAAACTAAGCCTTATTAGTAAACTATTTACCAATCTAGACGCGTGGCCAAACTATTTACGAAACTGAGCTTCTGAGGTAAAACGCTGCCTCGGTCAGCGTTTTACTTTTGGTTATTATTTTTTTTTATAAAATTTCGTATTATGTGAAATACAAATTTAAAAAAAAATTGGAAATACAGTAAGTCAGCGTTTTACACCTAAGCATAAAACGCTGCCTCAGGCAACGTTTTTATTGTATACATAACAGAGAAAAACGCTGACTGAGTCAGCGTTTTACACCTAAGCATAAAACGCTGCCTCAGGCAACGTTTTTATTGTATACATAACAGAGAAAAACGCTGACTGAGTCAGCGTTTTACACCTAAGCATAAAACGCTGCCTCAGTCAGCGTTTTATCTGCTGGCTGAAGGCAGCATCAGCAGGCCCCCAGCAGCAGCCAGTGCACATCCACCAACACCACCACCCTCCTCCTCCACATCCACCACCACCATCACCCTCCTCCTCCACATCCACCACCCTCCTCCTCCAAATCCACCACATCCACCACCCTCCTCCTCCACATCCACCACCACCACCACCCTCCTCCTCCACATCCACCACCACCCTCCTCCTCCACATCCACCACCACCACCACCACCCTCCTCCTCCACATCCACCACCACCACCACCACCCTCCTCCTCTACATCCACCACCACCACCACCACCACCACCCTCCTCCTCCAAATCCACCACATCCACCATCCTCCTCCTCCACATCCACCACCACCACCACCACCACCCTCCTCCACATCCACCACCACCACCACCCTCCTCCTCCACATCCTCCAACACCTCCACCACCCTCCTCCTCCACATCCTCCACCACCTCCACCACCCATCCTCCTCCACATCCACCACCTCCACATCCACAATTTATTTTGAACGAAATGAGTCAAACGTGGACAAATAAGAAATTTGAAATTCAAACAAGACATAAATTTATTCAAATAATTATTAAAATAATAATGTAATGTAAGTGTTATGTACAACAAACTAGAGAAGGTCATTACAGCAAATAAATCAGATAATTCTATCCTATTCTGACTCATCAATTTGGTGTAACGGCTCTCTATCCTGTATGTCCACTCTCGGCCTTTGACGACGGCTGTAGTGACGGACTGTGGTAAATGGGTTCGGGCGTACTGGCGGAGTCAGCTGGCTGGAAGATGGGTCATCAGGATGACGTAGGGGCGCGGAACTGCGATAACACATAAAAAGTAACATAATAAACAGGTTAGTGCATATTAAATATGTTAAGAGTATACATAATAAATAACAATTTCATAAACAAATTAAAGATTTCACCTGATCCTCGGTCAGTCGATCAAGGGCGTCTCGGTAGTACGGCAGGCCCCTCGCCGCATGCGCATATGTCAGCTTGGGGACCGCCCATCTGCAAGCGTACGCCTCGTCAGCGGAAGGCCGTGGTGGAGGAATGTACCGCTCATACTGCTGGTCCTGATCCTGCTGCCCCTGACGATGTATAGCAGGCCTACCTGGCCTGCCTACATAGATGTGCTCCCAAGACCAATACTGGACATCAAACACACAAAACTAGGTTAATTGTAAACTAAGTAAGAACTTTCCGAATTAAATTGTTAATAGATAGGTAGGTTACCTGAAGCAAAAATAACGGTCCGCTGATCTCACATGAACCCCGGCGGGATGCTCTACACAAATGGCGATACAACATCGCCAGACAAGCACTGCCCCAGCTGTAGCCACGAATATGCTCCCAGTCGTGGTCTACCAGCTGCAGGTAAATGATCTGTAAATGGCTGCATCCACACCTGTAGCAACCAACAATGTTCCTTTAAATTTCCCGTACAAATGCGTCCCATCGATACAGATGACAGACATACAATGTTTAAAACCTTCAACACAAGGGCCGAAGGTCCAAAATACTCGTTCAAACACTTCCATGTTGCTGTAATAAACATCGTCTACCAGAGCTTTGTGTTTCCATACAACAACGGTTCCCGGGTTTGACTGTTTGAGTGCTTCCATGAAGTGCGGGAGTCGGCCATAAGAACTCTCCCAATCTCCAAATACTTCAGCTATGGCTTTCTCCCTAGCATACCATGCTCTTCGATAAGTAACGTCGAACTGAAAATGTTTGGAAATGAGTTCCTGTATAAATTCAACTTTCAAGCATGGATCTTTCTGCACAAAAGACTTCACAAAATCGGAAATTAAGGATGAATCCAAGTGTGCATGATCTGTAGATAACACTTCAGTGACACAGGTGTCCCGGTGCATAGGTGAATAACTTTGGAGTTGCATGGGAGAAGATATAACTGTGTTCGATGTCGAAGGCCCAGATTGGCCAAACATTGTCGTGGATGTTCCACCATATACAGGTGAAGCTATATGTGAACTCAACGGCATCTGGAACCGATCGTCATGAAGCAGTCTGCTGAAGGACCCCATCCCATATTCAGTTGATGGAATGTCTTGTGAGGGCATTCGGAAGGACTCTGTGTAACCGGAAAAATAGGTAGCTTGTTGATCTGGTCGAGTACTTTGTTGCGTACACGTAGACACTATTTCTACATATATCTCATGTGGATAACCCCTCATTAAAACAACGTTCCTCAAAGCTTTCAAATGTCTATCGTTAGAACAAGGTAACACTTGAACCACATTATTAGTCTCAAACCTCATTTGAATGTTAAGTTGTACATTCATTCGGTTTAAGCCAATAATGCTATGAACCTCGTTCATCAGATCGTTGAAAGTCATGTCTGGTCCAAGTGGCAATGGTTCCATATTTCCACCACTATACTGGACATTCGGTCCATCAGACACAAATTCACCCCCCCATCGGCATAACAAAGCTGCGTTTTGTGCAGCCATATTCTATACAGCAACCAAAAACACATCTTAATTGCATGCAATCTCCACCAATTCGCACAATAACAACCAAGAAATTCACACTACAAACATAATTAACCATATTCACATAACAACCAAAACAAAGTACACAACGAACATATTCACACTAACAACCAACGTATTCTACATAACATAATTTTCGTAATTAAACGACAATGTAGGCTATTTTATCAAATTAAAACAACAATTTCATCAACAATATCAACAATTTCATCAACATTTTCAACATTTTTACCAAACATTCCCACAATTTCATCATAAACTTTCTTACTAAACTAACATCAATTTAGGGCTTTTATACTAAACTATTATCAAATTACAACAAACTAACTTAGAATTATCAACATAATTATCAATTTACATCAAACTAACTTAGAATAATCAACAACATTATCAAATTAAAACAATGGACTATATAATTATCAAACTAACCTAGGTTTTAAAATTTAAAAAACAAATAAGTGAGAAGTACCAAAAATGTGATTATAAAGAAGAGGAGAGGCGCGGCGGCAGCAGGCAGTAGGCGGCGGCGACGGTGGCAGGCAGCAGGCGGCGGCGGCAGCGGCAGCGACGGCGATGGCAACGGCAGAGCTTTGAGGAAGAGAGAGTTTGAGTTTTTAGTTTTGAGGAAGAGTGAATGCGTTGCGTCTGCCTGGAAGAATATACCAGGCAAAACCGCTGACTGAGGCAGCGTGTTTCTAGTATTAATGAAACGCTGCCTGAGTCAGCGTTTTAAGGCCTGTTATAGCCGAACACAAAAACGCTGACTGAGGCAGCGTTTTTGTGTATTTCAGTTTTTTTTATTTTTTATTTTGTATTTCACAAAATACATAATTCAAAACAAATTAAATAAATAAAAATGAGGAAAAACGCTGACCGAGGCAGCGTTTTACCTCAGAAGCTCAGTTTCGTAAATAGTTTGGCCACGCGTCTATATTCGTAAATAGTTTACTACTAACGCTTAGTTTCGTAAAAAATCCCTATTTTAAAGGATGTTGCATCAAAAGCATGCCTACCAAAACACCATAAAAGTAGCAAGTCTTGAAAGCCAGAAACATAGACTACTTGGTCAATATTGCTGCAATTGGCCTTTTATGACTTCAACATGGAGCTTAATCAAACTAATTACTACCACTACTTTAATTAATTCCTTATTACGAACCTAATTAATAATTGAACATTTCATTATCTTCTTTTTGAGTGGTATGCATGAAATTATTAGGAAATTATATTTAAATTATATGCAAAGTGGTAATGCAGTAACATAACATACATTTAAATTGAATTTGCGTTTTATATTACAGTATAATCCTAAAGTAATTGACCAAAAAAACCAGCTAATTAATTGAAGTATTTGTTTTTATGTTCTACTAGTGGTCTGAGTCTGACTTTGTTATTTGCATGCATGGCTAACCTAATCTTTCAGGGCAGCACGTTGAAATTTGTGATAGATACTCTTTCTATA